TGGGAGAGACCAAACCCTCTTGCCTGCAGGAATCACACGGAGCAGTTGCTGTTGCTGACACCTGGAGCTCAGAGGGGTTTCTGTGCGCACTTCCACACTGTCCTTGCAACATGCTATTTATCTTCCCTCTTCCTTAGCTGTGCCCAGATCTTACCTGCGTATCTTAATTCTCATCTGTTTTCGCATAAGATACATTTTAGCCCTGCAGCATTGTGCTGCTATGACAACAAGCTTGCACTTCTGCTGCTTTCACACCCTTGTTTTTCTTGTATTAGGACTCTTCCCCTCATCTTACAGCCTTGCTCTAAAGACATGACTTCATCCTTTATATTTTTCAGCAGAATGCACTGTTTGTTCTACAGACTGTTCCCCTGGAAGTGTTTTTAGTGTCTAAGCTACTTAGAGACAGTGAAGACCTACTACATCCATTGCCAGTTCCACAGCTGAGTGCTTGTGTCCAGGCATTCAGAAGTAGTCGAAGTTTTAAAATAAAGGGTACCTTGCGTTAGTCACAATCAAAACAGACCCAGGTTTCGGCTCCACTGAAAAACCACTATGCACTTCCACTGACTTTGAAAATAATGGTTTAAGTGTGCCACGTCTGTACAGCAAAGCAATTGGAAATACCACAGACAAGGGAACATAAACATGTTATTTCTAAAGATGATTGTTTCCTCCACGAGTTTCCTCACAAAGTAAGTGAGGAAACCTGTGAAGACCGTAGACAGAGTGTGCTGGCACGCACATGAATAGGAACAGAACAATTAAGAAGCAGAGAGAGGAAATAAAACCCCCAGAAGTATGAGGTCTGCAAGATTTTGAAGTTAAACTGTTTTGTTCTGCAGTAATCAGAAGTTCTGAAGCTCCTAAATAAATGTGCCTTTAGATGGAAATACCTAATTTTACTTTGTTTGCATGTTCAAATAGATATTTAATCAGTTATCTAGGTCAATTAACGGCCAGTTCATATGAGAAGAGCGATGTATAAGCACTTCTAAAAAATTGTACTTAGCAGAGGTTTCTTTAAAGAAAAAAACCTCTTATCTACAGATTTTTACAGGGGCAAACTGCAAATGCAATCACCTTCAGTAAGGAGTAAGGCATGTTACATTTCAATACTTCTCATCTGTATGTCTTGACATCTTAAGTGGAGTTTTTGCCAAAAAAAAATTAGTACTGTGTTATTGTTATAAACACAGTAATGTAAGTGGAAAAGAGGATATTTTTCTGGAAAAAAAAAAGGAAACCTTAAATTTTTTTTAAAAAGTCTTCAGTAGTATAATGCATTTAACTCACTGTAAGCATAGAGGAACAAACAGGCTCAAAAGGATGGCTCTCAAATCCTGGCTAAATGAGACCATATTATCTGAGGTTCAAATATCTGTCTAGGTCTCTATTTCCAGTGAGTGTGTATGACTTCCACCTAACAAGTTCCTAGCTGCAAGTGGAAATACCACTATGAAATGGTACGGGTCTGTTTTAACACTATTCTTAGCTGGGATTCTCGGCTTAGTCAAACTCTACAGACTTTACATAATCATTTGAACTTCTGCACGATGGTCCACACCAAATATCCCAATTATTTTTCCTTCTCCAAGCAGTTATTGGAAATACAGTAGTAAAAGCACACTTTCTTCAGTTAGGTGTTTTTACTTCCCAGCTCCCTCTCTCTCTTGAAAGAGTGAAATCTTGAGGAGAAAAGGTCCTGTGCACCGACCGACAGCGTAAGATGCCAGTTGTGCTCAGCTATAGAGCAGGTACTGCAGCAAGTAAAATTTCGTTATTGTCCTCCCACAGTATCTCAGTCTCAGGATGCGTCTCTTCCATATCTGAGATTCTACCGAGGCTTTTATTGGATCACCTATTCAAGACCAGAGACTGAGGATACGTTTGGATTTCTCCCTCTCTTCTGCAAATGACTACGCCAGCTGGAAACGCAACATTGGGATGGCAAGCCTAGAACGGTTAAGCACTTATGGGAGTTATCAGAACTATGGATACAGATTTACACAAAAAAAATTAAAAAAAAAAGAGGACTCGGCCTCATCTCCAAATCACAACTATTATATAAGGCAGCCACATGTCTCCCTGCTAATGAGCAGGAGACACCTTGTGTGAAGCAGCTTGTACGTTCAGCAAGACCCACCGCTGTCATGTGAGCAGCCAGCACGGCCCTGGCAGATGTGTGCTGTAAGGGGGAGTCCTGTGGCAGCTCCTGCTCTGGGAGCACTGCTCAAGACCTGGGCCTGAGACAGTGGTGAGGCTGAACCCTTCCCAGAATCTCTCTCCAGGCAGCCAACAAGGCACTGTGCAGTAGTGGTAATGGTGACTTTCTCAGGCTGATAACAGGCCCGTGAGGAATTGCACCAAGCTAACCATAGTGTTTCAGAGGTGTCACCACAGAACTTATCTGATTGGCTAATTAATTGATTAGGATATTAGAGTGATTAACCAGCTATGTTTCAATTTCAACTGCTCAGACTCCCAAACTTTGTATCCCTTTATATAAGGGGACAATAATAGAAGATGACTTCTTCCTCTGCTTAAATCAGGGGCAACCTCCTTCCCTTGCCACATGACTAGGGCAGCTGTAGCTGTTCAGGGCTCATTCTCTTCCCTCCCTGGCAGATGAGGTGGGATATGGCAGGCAAGGAAACCAAGAAGAGGTGCGGCAAGAGCAGCCAGCATCTGCTTGGGGCAACCATCCTCCTGTGTCTCCCATCCTCCTGCTTGTGGGTGGAGATGCAGCAACAGCCATGCAGGAGGAGCCAGCATCCAACCTGACACTTATTCTAAAACAAAACCTCTCCCTTGAGGAGGTTGTCGTCCTGAAAAGGGAAGATAAGCAAATGCAGCCATTTAGGTTCTCTGCCCTGACTGTGCCTATAGGGCAGCATTTTCAGAAATGTGAGGGGGTTACCTATGGTTTCATCCAGGACATTTATTTACAAGCGAAGTACTTTGAGTTGGTTGGCTCTGGACTGAGGCTGGGGATGCCTTTGCTCCCTTCTCCCCTTCATGCAATTGCACATATATCGGAAAACCTTGATGGCCAGCTTTTCTTTTCTCCTTCTCTTGGTGGGCCTTGTTAACACAAAATGATTTAGCCCTGCATCACAACAGATATAACAATATTGGGAGCTAGGAGCCCTCCCTCATGTTTTGCTGTTCTTTGACCCCCAGGGCCATCCACAAGGTTGGATAGGCAGCTGCCTAAGCCTGTCTCTGCCCACAAGCAGAAAAATAATCAGGACAAAGAATATAATCTATTCTACACAAGGCATATTGGAATTAACTAGATAAGTAAAGAGTTGGAAATAATGCATCAAATATGCCTGACAATGTCTAAACAGTCAAATGGCAATGGAGTTAATTATCTCTATAAATGAAAAATAATCATTCTGTTGGCCAATTCTGTCCATTAAAAATGAGGTAGTATTAAATACTGACAGAACTTTCTATGCTATACCTCTTTCACTGACGTGATAAATCTTATGCAGAAGTTTGCTCGCGGAAAGATTCCGAGTACCATTTATTTGTGTGTCACTGTGCTATTGACAAAACTACAGATCTCTAGAGAAGGCAGTACAGAGAAAAAAATCCATTATCATTATTATCCTATGACTGAGTAAATGTGCACATACTGGATGCAAATGCAATTCATGGTACAAGAAAATGAAGGAATGAAAATCATCTCTCTGGAGTTTTCTCATTCGCCAGTAACATTCCTGTTACTGTACTAAGTGAGTTGACACTTATTAAATCTGTTTGCTCATTACTGTTGGGGAATATGTCAAAAGAAAAACATAAAATACTGAGTAGCTTTGTACCATACCTCTGTATGTACCTACAGTCAAAATAAAAGATAAATAAATCCCCTGTAACAGTTATTTCCTTGTTTAGTAAAGAGGGAGGTCTCACTGAAGTCTTTTACAATAGGTGTTTGCATCTGTTTTCTCATTTTAGAAAAGAGATTCCCTGAAGCAATTAAAAATAATTAACATTGGCTTTTACATGGGCTGACAGTTTGACATTCAGAACAGAAGAAAAAGAAGAAAAAAGAAAGCAATGCCGAGTCTCTTGGGTTTCCTCAATGCAACAGCAAAAACGTGCACGATAGAACTAGCCACACCTCTGGTTATTTCCAAATGTTCCTTTCCATTTTCCTGGGTGAACTTGACCCTCTTTGCACACAGTTTTTGCATCTATCCTCTCAGGTTTTCGACATGTTTTGACCCATAGTAGGGTGAGATGTCCTGTTAGATTGTAACTCGCACGCTCCGTGCTGCTCAAGTGACAGGGAAAGATGCTGCCCGCTCTAACTTGAACCGGTAGCACAGGCTGCACCATGCCTGCAATCTACAGCAGGGCTGGATTTTCTCTTCATCTATGAAACCAGCATTTTCTGTGATGGTGGGGTGGGAGTGGAGGGGGAAAAAAACCCACTAAAACGCTAAAAATAATCTGGTGAGTTATGTCACTTGCCTTCATGAGCAGTGAGAAGAAGGTTTTATGCTACCCCTCTCTGTGCAGAAGTGCAGTCCAGACACAGCAGCAGCCCCCAAAACCATTCTCGGCAGCCTGGCAGATTGGTACCTAACTGCTTTTGAAGTTTGAGTCTATCAAAGCCCGAGACGCCGTAACTCGGGAGCACGACTGTCTCGCGAGTACAGAGACACAAAAAATTACTTAAGCAAGCAGGTTGCCCTTCTCGCTCACTCAAAAGCAAGTAAAAGCAAAATAGGGAAAAAAGGAAAGGAAAAGAAAAAAAAAAAAAAAAAAGGAGGGGAAGACAGCGGATCCCGCGGCGCTGGCAGGGAGCGCGGTGCCGGCTCCCCGCGCCGGGCTGGCGTCCCAACTGTTGCAGGGAGGTGACCGGGGAGCTGCGGTGGCAGCGGCGGCAGAGCCCGGCGTGCGCGGGTGGGTCCGTGCCGGCGGGCAGGTGCGGGGAGCGGGGCGGGATGCGGGGCGGTGATGGCCAGGGGACCCGCCGCGGTTACCTTGAGGATGAGATCGGTGTGGTGCTGGTCCAGCATGTTGGCCTTGCGGAAGGAGGTGATGATCACCCGGCCGTACCTCCCCGGCGTCTGCAGGTCGGAGTAGAGCCGGTGCTTGGAGCGGTTCACCGGGAAGAGGCTGTCCACCAGGTTCCTCTCGATCTTGGCCAGGCTGTGCGTGGGGGCCAGGAGGTGCTCCACGTTCTCCTCCACCTGGTAGCGGCTGAAGCTGGCGCCCAGAAGGATGGAGATAAGCACGGGCGCCGAGGCGAAGAACACCGGGTGGCTGGCGACGAAGTGGCCGAGCCGGGAGAAGGACGTCCCCAGCCCCCTGTGCAAGACCTGCCGCAACATCCTAGTGCGGAGGGCGCGCAGGAGGGCGAGCGCCGCGCCGGGGCCCCCGCAGCTCCCCCACGGCCCCCGCAAGACCATGGGGCAGCCCCGCCGGGCGCCGCCTCCCCGCCGGCCGCGGCTGCGGGGGGCCGGGGGCCGCCGCCGCGCGTGTGCGTGTGTGTGCGGTGTGTGCGCGCCCGCCCGGCTGCGTGCGCGGGGCGGCTCGGGCGCCCGTCCTCCCGCAACGCCGCCGTGCCCGAGAGGAGTTTCCCAGCCCCTCGATGCCACACTTCCCAACCCGCCGCCCCTCGCCGCGGAGCGGCGGCGCGGACCGCCCGGGGGACGGGGGGGCAGGGAGCAGCCCCGCCGCCGCCCCGCCGCGGGAAGGGGAAGGGGCAAGCGCCGCTCCCCGCCCCCGCCGCGGAGTTCGCGCGGGAGCGGGGTTGCCCGCAGACTGCTGACTAATCCCCCGGCCGCGGCAGGCGAGGCGAGGCGAGGCGGGGCGGGCGCAGAAAGCCCTCGGCGGCGCCCCCGCCGCCGCCGCCCTCCGCCCAGGGCGCGGGGCCACGCCGGGCGCCGCCTCGCACGGGGCGGCGGGCGCAGCGCGGCGCCTCCCGCCGGGGCCGCCCCGCCGGCCGCGCTCGGGACGCCGCGGCGCGCCCCGCCCGCCTGGCCCCGCCCGCCGCCGGCAGCCGCCGGCCCGGGACCGCGGGGGAGCGCGGCCCCGCCGCGGCCCCGACGGGCGGGAGGGCGGCGGGGCGCGGAACGGCCGCCCCCCGTGCAGGGGGAGTTGGGTGTGCTTCGTGGGGGGGCTTTGGCGCGGGGTCCCGCCGCCACAAACGTCCGGGCGCTTCCCGCGGCGGCGGGGCCGGGCGGCGCCCCGGGTGCCTGACGGCAGCGCCCCGCGGAGCGGCCGCACAGGTGCCGCGGCGGCGGGGCCAGCGCAGCCCGGCACTGCCCGGCGCCCGAGTGGGCATGTGCGGCGCTTGCACATGCCCATTAGGGAGGCTGGTGCCGCTGGCGGGGCTGTCCCTGCCCGCATCGCGGTCCGCGCCCGCCCGGCATCGCCCCCGGAGCCGCCCCGGCACTGCCCCGGCACTGCCCCGCGCAGGCAGCCCAGCACCTGCCGGCACCGCGCCGTGCCGGGGGAGCGCTGCCGCTCCCCTCACCCTGAACCGGCATCCCCGGAGCTGCCCACCTGTGTGTAGGTACAGCCCGTCGCCGCCGGATGCGATCCAGGGGCACGGCCTCTTTTTTAAAAAGCAAATTGCATTTAAGTAGCAGAAAGTGCAGAAGTGCTGTGGCTGTTGGCATATTTGGGCACGCTGATTCCTAGCGCTGTTGGCTGGCCCAAGCTGCTACTTCCCAAACCAAAGGTGCTCGTGTTTGGAGTCCAGTTGCTCCTCAGGCCAGTGGTTTTACAAACCGGAGAAAAGGAAGTTTCTGTTTGACAGCTCTTACACGTGTTGCTGTATAAAACAGCAGGGGCTCCCAGTTTTGGTTATTGATGGCTGACAGTCATCCTCCTTTTACATTTCAGTAGTGTCTGACCTGAGCTAATGTTTTGTCACAGACGCTTCATGCACAAAACCTCCTTGACATCATTGCTGTCTCCTCACAGCTAGGTCACACAGCTTGAATGCTAAAATCTTTCCATGTTTCACTGCCAATGTGGTGAGCAAGTGAATGGCTTAATTGAGCACGGCCAAGTTATGGCAGGTAAAGTCCCAACATCCTCTGGTTCTTCTAGATTTCATGCCCGAGACCAGGAATCATTCCTGAGAGTGATCTGCCTATGGGGTCAGTGCAGCTGCCTCTAGGGTGCCCCGAGGGCTGCTGGGGTTTATAATATGCTCATGCCTCTGCTCAGGTCCACTCCCACACAGGTGGGTCCTCACTGCTTGTATCAGTCCTACATAAGTTTAAGGAAGAAAAATATAATTTAAAGAAAACCTCAAAGGTGGAAATAGAAGCAGAAGCACACACAGGAGAGGATTGGACCCAAGTTTGGGTGAAGTTCAGTATTAGGTCAGGCCTCAGAGACTGGCTCTCTGTTTTCTAGTCCAGCACTCTCCCCTTTCTGCCCAGAGTTCCGAGCACAGGCTCACTCACGTCATTGTATATCAGGGAAACATCGGGATGTGGCTAATGCTTTACATCATTAGCAACAAGTGAAGAACTTTTGTCGTTGCTGCTGACAGTATCATCTTTGCTGATTTTTTTTTTGTCTCCATTAAACGTATTTTATCATCATTAAAAATGAAGGGAGATTAATTAATTATTTCAGTAACCATCCAGTGGCCGATTTGCAGTTTTCCAGGGTACCTCAGGAAAACTAGTTTGAGGATCTGACATCCAGTTCAGTTCTCAGCACATTAACTTTGGGTAAGCCATAGGTGACCTCAAGAGAACTCATAGAATCATTTAGGTTGGAAAAGACATTTGAGATCATTGTATCCAACCATTAACAATATATATCCATTTTTGCGGGGGCATAGAGGAAAAAATGATGTATCGGCAGTTCTGTGGAATGTTCCTCTGTCTTCCCAGAGCAGTGTCAGTTTTATTGCCTGTTGTAACCAGCACTGGGCTGCACTGTTGGCTGCGATGGAAATGTCTTTCTAAAGGTAGGCACGGGTTTTTACCCCACAAAATTCTGCCTCCCCTTTGCCCGAGGAATCACCCTGCTTTTGACTATGGGGTTGCCTGTAAGGGAGGGATGGACATACAGGGGTGGGAAGTGAGATAGCTTGACATGTGCTGTGTGTGCTGAAACTGCCCTGAGTACATTGCAATGCCACAAGCATCCTGTGAATGTTACCAAACCAAAGGGGAAACCTGCATACTCCTGACTGCAGATACTGAAATCACCTTGTTGCTGATCATCATTGCTCTGTCACTCCAAAAATTGCCATCAAAATACATTCTGTGGTAATGTGATTGTCAGGAGCAGAATAGCCAGAGGCCTCCCACAGCACTTTGAGAAGACCAAAGCATGGCTGAGCTCTCGCCTCTGTTGTAGGGGAAAGCCTTTAGCACGTGCCATGCAGTGAGTGCTGGGCATTAACCAGCTCTACCTGTCTTTTGGAGGAAATGGAAGGGTAGGATTTCTATCACGTATATGTGCTGCTCTGCTACAGCTCTTGAATGGCGCTTTACAAAATAGATAATGATGTCTCATTGCTCTAGAGAGATTCCAAACTAAATTAAGAAGAGAATGATGGGAAGAGATGACCATACAATGAGGTGCAGATGCTGGAAATAGGGATAATGAGGGGGAGAACAATATGATTATGTCCTTTCAAAGCAAATGCCTCAGGGCAGCTACTTTTGGGGACAGAGTGTAAAAGGGAGGTGGGGAAGACATGACTAAAAGACAGCATTTGCACAGGGTTTAACTCTGCTCTCAAGAGCAGACCTGTCCGCTGTGAAGTAGTTGTTGACTCTCAGATCTGTGCAAAGAGACTGCCTTGACCCTTTGAACATCACAAAAGGACAAACAGGTCAGGTGGATTAGCACAAATGAGGTGCTGTCATTCCCAGGGCCCGCAAAGCCTTGGTGGGTCAAACACCCCACAACCTAGGTCAGAGGGCTTTAGGATGACTTGAGCATCCATAAATGAGCATATCTCTATGCATTTGCTCAAATCTTGTTACAATGGCAAGTTTTAAAACTAATGTGAGAGGAAGAAGTTGACAAGGTTTTATTTAAAATAACCTCTTTCTCCTACCTCACCCAAAGTGGTCCAGTGAAACAAAACGCTCAGAGAAGTGATGGAGGAGTGGATTCCTGATGAGTAACTTCAGATGAGTGAAGAGGGCCTAGGGAAAAGGAAAGGTGTCAGGAGCAGCTGGGATGGCTGTGGGAGGTATGCAGAGAATCAGGGTTTTGCATTGTTTAGTTAGGCATGAGGAACCAGAGAGGATATTTTAGGAGTGTGTGCAGGGGATTTAGTGCTGCGAATGGGGAATGTTTTTTGCAACAGGGCACTGAGCAATGTGTGATGCAGGTTCCAGCTGGAGCTTGGAGAGAATGAGGTTACCCACAGCGAGGAGATGTGTAACAAAGACTTTTTTTTTTTTTTTTTTTTTTTAAGGGAACTAAAAGGAAAATTTTCAAGGAGAGTTTAATAATTATGGTTAGAATTTTAAGGGTTGCAAAAGCTTTTTTACTGACATTCTCTGTGTTATGCTCATTTATACCTGCTGAAAGTCTTGCTGGTGACATGCAAAGACATTGTGCTTTGTGCCAAGGGATCAAAATGACATGTAGGCAGCCCAGGATGGCAAGGGAAAGCAGTAGCTCTCATTGGATCATCCGATCAAGCTCTGCTCTGTATTTCTTGGCCTTAGGTCTGGGACCTGGGCCAATGCCAATTAAGTTGGTGAGGGCACAGACAAGGTTAACGATAAAGTTAATCTCCCATTGCTGATTGGTGAGGGATCCTCACAACTTGCAGCTTTTGTTCATTTGCAGTTAACAGAAAAGCAAAGCAGAAGGAGGCCTCCTTCTTATTTCCAGCCCGGGTCCCATCACAGTAGGAATATTACACAAAAGTATCACTCCTTTTGCTCATATGTGCTGCACTTCTCCCACAAGGATGGCAAATTGCTTGTACTGAAAAGGGCTTTACAGAAGCAACCTTGGGAAATTGAAAGCTGGTCTCAAAGCAGTTACTAGTTCATATTTAATCAATGAAACTTCACTTTCTTCTTTTTCTCTCCTCAGTCCCACCTTCTTTTGAATGGCGCCAAGTAGTGGTGCATCATGGGCACAAACAGCATGATCGGAGTTTAAGAACCCCAAAACTAAGGTGATTATTTAAACAGAGAAAGCAGAAATGAAATAGAGGAACAAAGCAGCATCACAAAGCATCTCTCTACACCAGTCCTTTGGGTCATGAAGGACAGGGCTGTGCGAACAACAGCTCGTACAGACCAGGAAGCAATACCCTGCCAAGAGATGGCAACAAATTTTGCAATCTGCATCCTCAGATTTCATTGCCAGAATTCAAGATGGCTGATTTCTTACGTCCTGAAACAGGCGATTGACAAAATCAATCATGTTGTAATATTTTCTTCAGTGTGTGTAAGCCCCTAGT